TGGGCAATGGGCTTGGGTAGTTCCATAGGGAAATGTTCAATCTCAATGACAACAATGGGAAACCTTTGTGCCTTGTTCCTTAGATCTGGTCACTCACGGGTTTTAGAATCTTCCATCACAGAATTTTTGTATTTATCTCTGTCCTTTACTCAATCTTCAACTTGAGGCCTATGGATATGTGTTCATGTGTCTGCACACTGAGAATTCACTTACTGTGTCGGTGATGCACAGAGTATGCAGAGGCAAAAAGCAGATTGTGCAGATGTCTTAGAAAATTGGATTCACTTTTCGGTGTGTTTGGGACTCTACAGGCAGTAAATTATTTCCTACTTCACTTAAAGTTTATTTGCTGTTGATGTTTTACTTTGAGGCGGCTGGGGGAAGTTTCACAGTCTTCCTAAAGGTTTCAATGGAACGTTCAGAAAACCAAAAGCAAATAACAGAGAGAGAAAAGTGATTGGCAGATATTTTTTTTTATTGGCAAATATTTTTAAGGTTTAACTGAAAAATCTACTCTCAGATATCTATATTTGGTTTTTATTACTAAAAAATAAGGGTCTTGTTGGCAAAATAAGAACTGTTTCACTGTTTATTCTCGTAACGTGACAAAATTGCTCAAAAGGATATTCAGATGGGATTTGTTTATCTCATTTGTGATAGTGATAGTTCAGTGAGTTCTTAAAATCTGAAAAGTGGTTGTTATTGTCATGTGCTGTCAATTCGCTTGCAACTCAGCAACCCAATAGATAAAAGCCCTAAATTCTGCTCTATCCCATACCAATTTTATTGTCTCTGACACACCTACCTCCATTACCCCAGTCACTGACTCACTCCATCTCATTGAGAGTCATCCTCCCTTGTGCTGCTCCTCCATCCTCCCAAGAATGATATCTGTCTCCAAGGACTGGTCCTTCCTCACAACATGCCTAAAGTATGTCAGATGAAGCCTCAGAATCCTTGCCTCCAAGGATTATTCATGGAGCTAGGGAAAATAGGAACAACAGAAAACCATTCTCTTTGACTCTGAAGGGAAAATTTGCAGAGAAAACGATCTGCTGTGTTTTCTCACTGAGCTGGAAGGACACAGAGGTTACAGCAATGGCCTCAGACATGTGAATGATTGTGAAGATGGCCCAAGGTTGAGCAGTGTTTGATTCCATCGTGCTTCAGGTTGCTATGACTCAGAGCAGACTTGGCGGTACCTAACAATAACAGCAACGTTTTTCTCTGCAACATTCCCCTTAGAAGCAAGAATATTTCACAGGTTTTTTTGTAAATCTTTCTAAGATAAACTGAAATTGAAAGAGCTTGAAAAAATAGAACTGAAGCCTAGGATGCTTCAGTCTGGTAAAGTTTCAGCTCAGTCCCTACAGCTTGGTATATATGAGACAAATGTTGGTGGCTCCAGTCAACTAAATAGCTCTTAGAGATTTTTTGTTGTTGTTGTTCTGTGCCAAGAAGCATTCCCCTATAAACCCTTTTGAGCTTTTTTTGTCCTTTTTGTAAATTTTTTTTTAAAAATTTGTTATTTTCTCTCTGTGTACCATCAAATCAGATCTGACTGGTACAGGAGGAGATTATCCTTCCTTCTCCAGCAGAACAATCTGGTGGATTCGAACAGTGCTCCTCTGGGATTGCAGTGCAGCTTCTTGCCACTAGGTCACCAGAGCTCCCTGAGCTTTTCTTTTTAATACTTACCATTGGTGGACTCAACTTTGCTTGCTGAAAGCAAGGGGGCCTTGAAATGCTTGCTGCCTAAGAACAAATTACAGCTTTCCTTGTGCTTTACATCACAACATTAAAAAAAATATCCTCACCACTGGGCCGATAGTGAGCATCATGATACATGGAGAAAAGATTGGAATTGTCAACTATTTCATCTTACTTAGATCCCCAATCAACATTCTTGGTACCAGCAGTCAAGAAATCAAAAGAAATGCATTGAAAAAGTATACTGGCAAGGACCTCTCCAAATTGCTAAGAAGCAATGATGTCAGCTTGAGGGCTAAGGTGTGCCTGATGCAGGTCAAGATCTTTTCAATCATTTCTTATGCATTTAAAAGCTGGACAATGAATAAGGATGACAGGAGGAGAAGCTGGGCTTTTGAGCATGGACTGCCAAAAGAACAGACATGTCTTGGAGAACGTGTAGGCAGAATGCTCCTTCAAGGGAATGATAACAGAGCTTCATCTCACGTACTTTGTAGGAAAGGTTATTGTTTAGAAAGAGACAACGTGCTTAGAAAGGTGGAGGGTTAGCAAAAGAGAGAAAGATCCATGAGATGGATCAATTAAGTCGCTGCAGCAAAGGGTGCAAGTTTGCCAGAGATGATAAGGATGGCAGAAGATAGGACAGGGTTCAGATCTGTTGTTCACAGCATCCCTATGAGCCGCACTTGACTTGATGGCGTCTAACAACAATTGGTGGCATTGTCTGTAGCGAGCTGTAAGGCTCTCATAGAGGGTCAGCTATGAGTCGATTGCACGTGACAGTGATGAATTATGAGTTTGAGTTACATTTATTGAATCCTAGATAAGTGCCAGGCACAGTGCTAAGGTAACTCACTTAACCCCATGACTAGCCAGTGAAGAGGGTAGTATCATTATCTTGGTTGGACAGATGAAAATGAGGCTTGAAGATATTATACGACTTGGCCAAGGTCACACAGCAAGGCATGGATGTCAAAATGTGCAAGTATGTGTGTTATGGTGGAGTGGGGTGGGGTGGAGTGGGAGGGATGTTTGTGGTGGGGTTCCTTGGTGCCGTGGGATCAACTCACAGCTCCCCTGTGAACAACAGATTTGCACCTTGCCCTATCCTGCTCCATCCTCTCTGACACACTGGAGCCCACTGCTTCAGCCCGTCTTGTTGGGGATCTTCCATAGTCTCAATTTTGGAAGAGTACAAAATCGGGAGCATTATCTCTTCTACCTCCACCTTTCTCCTTTTTAAAAAACAAAAAAAAAACCAAACCTCTCAGTATTGTCAGTCCACTTCCAGAAAATTTTCTAGCTAAGAATATCATCTCCTCTTACTACCTCAATATTGCAGAGAATTTAATAGCCACTGTGTGGCTGGCTGGAACTCACCTTTCCTGGGCTACCTAATCCATTACTTCTTCAGGCGTCACTCTCAGCAGTAAAAAGACTTAGCCACAATGATAGGGTATTACACACACACACACACACGCACACAATCACTCTCTCTTTCTCTAGCTCTTTATTCTACTGCTTATTTCTTATCACAATGTTATAAATGCAAACACCTTCACACTTGCAAATTTTTTTTCCTACTCTAAACAAAGCATCTACACAGGACTGGAAAGTGCAAAGCTGTGAGAGTTTAGCATCAACACTAACCCTTCACTGAAAACCCACTGAAAGGCCAGCTGAGTCTGTTCCAAGTCAAATGCAACTAGTGAATGAATTAAATATATCATTTATAATCCTTTAGTTATATAATCTAAAGTTAGAAACATATCACTTCTAGAATATAGAAATTACATATTTCTAGAAATTCTATGTTAATATATATAATTAATAATATAAGATAGACGACTCTCAGGTAAATAGTACAGATGCATGTTATAGAGTTTAAAAGAATAAAGAATTATGGAATTATAAAGAAAAACATTGTCCCCATCCTTCCTTTTATTGCCGATCCTTCTCCCACAGAGGAGCTGGCAGATTCGAACTGCATGCCTTTGGGATTGCAGTTCAGAGTCTTACCACTAGACCACCAGAGCTCCCCACACGTATTTATACAAATGATCTATTAACATATATAATTAATAATGTAAGATAGACAGCTCTCCTGTATATAGTATAGATGCATGTTACAGGAGTTTAAAGGAAAGAATCATGGAAATAGAAAGAAAAACTTTTGAGATTACACATGCTGCTGTTGTTATGTACTGTTGAGTCAGAACCGTCTCGTAGCCGACCCTCTACGTGGTTTTCAGAGTCAGTAAACTGCACAGGAGGAGACTGCCCATCTTTCTCCCATGGAGCAGCTGGTGGGTTTGAACCGTGTGTCTTTGGATTGGCAGCTAAGCCACCTGAGACTTTACTAACACAGTGCATTGTCTTACTAAATCCACACAATAATCTTGGGGGAGAGTCCCAGTAGTTCTATGACACGGGATAAATGTGAAAACTGAGGCACAGGAATGATAAATAACTTGCCCGATGTCTTTAAGTCAGTAAATGGCTGCGAACTTAAAACAAAAAGTCTTTTTTGCTCCAATTGACCCAGAAATTAAGGGATTCCCCCCCCCTCCAGCTACACTGCAGAGTCAAAAGAGAGAACTGGGCAGGGTAGAGGGAAATAAGGGGCATGACAGGGCAAATCTTCATGGTGGGAATAAACAGGGAAAAGGAATCGGCTGCTTTTGTTGAAGAGGCGCTTCCATTAGAGGACTCAGCAGATACTGTTACAACAGAGTATAAAGTCAATTGAAGGAGACTTGCAGGCCCGTTCAGAGTAAATAATCTGTTGGATTCCTTGTTCGGATAGGGGCAGAATATGGGCACTTGGCAACACTACAGTCGTGGTTTTGAAGATCAGTCTGGTCACGGAGAACGCTGGTGGCCTGGTGTGTACAGAGTTGCATTGCCAACTTAAAGGCAGGAGATTTGAATCCACCAGGTGCCCCATGGGGATAGGATGGACAATCTCCTCGTATGTCATTTAAAGCACCTGCAAACCCGACGGAAGTCAGCTATAAGTGGGTTCCAACCTGTCAGCACACAACAGCAATGCTCTGGTCCTAGAATGAAGAAGGAGAGCCAAGAGGTAGGGAAAACATCAGGGGCTAACTAACTGTAATGGTTCTGAGAAGGACAGAGCGTTTTACACATCCTCCCAGTTTTTGAGGGGTGCAAGGCACAAATTCACTCTTTGTTGTCACTGTGAAGGTCACGAAAGACTCATACTCCACTCTCATCTCACCCCACAGGCTGTGATATCTCCATAGGGGCAGATAAACGCTTGGAAAATCATGACGATTTTATTTCGCTGCCAGACATTCAGACACCTCTGGTTTTCCAAGTCACCTGCGAGGCACTTCCACAAAGACTGTCAGCTTTGGGCCCCTCTGACTCTTGAAGACTTTGAAGCCATAAACCGCTGTGAGAGGGCATTGCCCAAGAACTTTAACTTTGCCGCAGACGTGCTGGACCAGTGGTCTCAAAAGGAAAAGGTATGTGATGCTAGACTTCCATCAGATGCCTGGTGCCCACTCACTCCTCAGTCTTCCATTTCCCTGTTCTGGGATCCACTTGTCAAATGGAATTCTATTCTTCCATCCTTCTTCTCTTTTGATTGCTCTTCCTCCGTCCCAATGAAAATCTCTGAGCCTCAATTACATATGACTGTCTTTCTCTAGAACCAGCATTATGTTACTTGTCTTTTCATTCTTTTTTTTTTCTCCAAGTCTAATGCAACAGCTCCTCTTCCATTCTTAAGGCTGGTAACAGGGCTATTTAAAAAAGTAGAAATCTGCTGGAATGCATACAGATTATACATGAATGGAAGAGCATCGCCAATGCTTAGTCATAATTAGTACCAGAAGAGGGGAGTTGAGAAAAACCAAGCAATCATGCATAACAGAGCAAGCTTCTTGCTTTCTGATCCCCGCTGAATGTCAAGTACTCAGCTAAACATTTGACCTCTCAGTACTTACCATAAGGGGGAAATGCTGGACTTGTCTCCTCCCATGCAATTTACTGTCTCTGAAAACCTGTGAGAGAGTCAGCTATGAGTCAGTTCTGACTTGATGATACACATCAACTTATCAAAATGCACAGCAAGAGGCCAGACTTAAAAAAGGATATTAGCTACTAGATATGCTGTTGCTGATTTCTACCAAGTTGATTCCAACTCCTGTTACTCAAATACGTGCAGAATAGAAGTATTCTGCAGAGGTTTCCCATTGTGACCTTTCCGAGGCCGACTGACAGATCTGCTGCCTGAGGCACCACGAGGTGTGTTTCAAATACCATTAATATTGTTGTTGTGTAATGTCAAGTCAGAATTGATTCATAGTTTGACCCTCCAGCTGGTTTTTAGAGGCTATAAACCAAACAGAAGGAGAGTGGCCATCTTTCTCCCATGAAGCAGCTGGTGGTTTCAAACTTGGAGCTTTTGGAATGCCAGCACAGCTCCTAACCACTAAGCCACCAGCGCTCCATTTTGGTCACTGAGGGATTCCATTGGTAAGTATAAACCAAGCCAAATCCACTCTCAAGTGCAACTCATGATGACTGTTCATCAGATTCCTAAGGCTGTAAATCTTTATGGGAGCAAAATGTCTCACCATTCTCCTGTGGAGTTATGGTTCCTTGGATTTGAACAATTGACCTTTCAGTTGCAGTCCAAAGTATTAAACACCGTGCCACCAGGGTTCCTTGTGAGATATATACAAGGCATTAAGTAACAGTCACTTCTTAAATAGAGGAGAAAGTTTTCATGTAAAGTCATTTTATCTTTAAACATTTCTACTATTTGCTAATGAGTCCTTAAGTGGTGCAAATTGATAATGCTAACTGAAAAGTTAGTGGTTCAAGTCCACCCAGAGGTACTTTAGAAGAAAGGTCCTGAAATGTATTTCAAAAAGAGTCAACTATTAAAAAATCAGTGGGGCACGATTGTGCTATGATACACATGGTCACGAGTTGGAGTTGAATTGATGGCAACAGATCATACTTGTCAAACTCTGTTTGGAATCAAGAGAGAGCAGATAGAAGGTGATAGATAATCCCTCTTCAAAACTTAAGGGCATAATTTTGTTGCCATTTTTTTTTGTCCCTTTTTCAGCAACCTACCTTTTAGTAAGTCATTCTGATTTTTTTCAATTATGGTGATTAAACGAATTTCCTTCCTTAGAAAATTTGCACAAGTAGAAGTAACTTGATGCCTGGGATGATATGAAGAATAACAGCACAGGTATAGATATATATGACAAAAATAGTGAAAATGATACTCAAATGGCTAATTAAGAAATCCTGGCCTGCTATATCTTATCAGATCCCCATAATTAGCCTGGGGGTTTACAAATAAGAAAACTGAGGTTTGCAGAAGGTGAGTCCCTGGTCTTAGTTTATATAGCTACAAAGATTCCTGAATGGAGTCCCTGATGTTGTGAATGCTGATGCATTAGGGTAAGGATAAGCCTGTCACATGCGATGGAGTCATCTGGAGTATGAACACAAAGCCAGGGGCAGAAGAGGAGGCTGGAAAAAGATTCACAGAGGAACCAAAATGTCAATGGCATTTGGAAGCATTTGCCAACTGAAGAAGTTCTCAAGGCACTCTAGAAGGGGGCAGGAAGGGGAGTGGTGGCTTATTTTTCAGGTAACACATAAAGCCAGGAAGTTTTACCCTTGGCCGGCTCAGCAGCAAGAAGTTTCTTCCAAAATCAGTCACATTGACTTGGCCCCTGGCCTTAGTCTTTTGGATACAAGCAGATGTCAGGTTGCTAGTCAACCCAAGTACATCCATTAGCATTACTTGGATGGAGTAGAATCAAATTTAGGCAGGAGGAAAATTGATAGGAAACCTGCAATGTTTGGTGATGGTCTGAAAAGTCCAGAATTGGAACAGTTTCCCAAGGGCAGGGGAGCGCCAGGATCCAACAGACTGTTTCTTGTTCCAGGTAACTAGCTTTTGGTTTCTCAGAAAACTTAAAGTCCATTTGGAGAAGGTCTGACTGACTTAGCTTGAATCCTACCCCCCCTTAAAGGTCAGGGATGGGTGAGTACCTATTCATACTCAACAGGAGAGAAGATTGTTCCTCCAAAGACATATCAGGTTGTTGTTTTTGTTAGGTGCTGTTGAATCGAGTGTAACTCATCACAATCTTATGAACAGCATATCTGAATTCTGTCCTCCCCTGCGCCATCTTCACACTTCCTGACACATTAGAGCCCATTGCAGCAGTCATTGGGTCAATCCACCTGACTGAGGTCTTCTTCTCCTTCACTCACCCTTTATCCTTCCAAGCATCATGTCCTTCTCCAAGGAATAGCCCCTCCTAGCAATACATCCAAAGTAAGTGAAATGAAGCCTCATCACCCTTGTCTCCAAAGAGCACGCTGGCTGCACTCTCTCCAAGATATATTTGTTTGTGCTTTTGGTACTCCATGGGATGTTCAGCGCTCTTCTCCAACACCCCAACTCAAAGGCATCAATTTTTCTTCTGTTATCCCTGCTTATTGTCCAGCTCTCGGATGCAAAGTATATCATCAGAAAGACTGTGGCCTCAACTTGGTCCTCAAACACTCAAATCATTACTCCTCTATAATTTGGAGTGGTCCCTAACTGCAGACTTTCCCAGTGCAAAACGTCTCCTGATTTCCTGACTGCTGGTACCAAGGGTGCTAATTGTGAATCCAAGTAAGACGAACTTATTGACAGTGCCAATTCCTTCTCCATCCACCATGATGTCGCCTATCAGTCCGGTGGTAAGAATCCTTGTTTTCTTGACATTAAGATGCGGTCCAACTTGAAGGCTGCCTTTCTTGATCCTCTGCAGCAAATACTTGAAGTCTTCCTCACTTTCAGCAAACAAGATTGTATCATCTGCATAACGCAGGTTATTGAGGAGTTTGCCTCCAATCCTGATGCCATGTTCCTCCTCATAGAGTCCAGCCTCTTGAATAATTTGCTTAGGATACAGACATATCAGTTACTCCTATTATAATCCATGTGGTTCAGATCAATTATGTTAGGGGGCTCTGGTGCCTTAGTAGTCAACTGCACTGCAATCCCACAGGCATGTGGTTTGGATCACCCAAGGCTGCTCCAAGGGAGAAGGATGAGCAATCTCCTCCTGTGGGATTGACTTTCTCTAAAAACCCACTGGAGGGTGAGCTATGAGTCAGTTCCAACTTGATGCCACACTAGAACCATAATTCAAGGGAACAGGTTTGGAGGAGGAGAAAAGAGAGAAGTCCCATCTACTGGGGCCATATGAGCCTATTTTTTTCTTTCTTGTGTTTCTTTATCCAGACAGGAGAGAGACCAGCCAATCCAGCACTGTGGTGGGTGAACGGAAAAGGGGATGAAGTAAAATGGAGCTTTAGGGAACTGAGCTTCTTGTCCCGAAAGGCTGCCAACGTGCTCATCAAGCCCTGTGGCCTGCAGAGAGGGGACCGCGTGGCTGTGATTCTGCCCCGGATCCCAGAGTGGTGGCTCATCAATGTGGCTTGTATGCGAACAGGTAAGTGTCGAGACAGAACGTTTCTAAACCATATACAAACATATGGAAAAACTAAAATTTGAGGTTTGTGCTCGTAGAGGACAAAAACAAAGAGTCAAAATGAAGAGCAAGAACAGTGTAGTAATGCAACTGCCTTAAGAGGTCGGTGTTACAGTGATATCAATTTGCAGGAAATGAAAGAGGCTCAGAGATGTTAAGCAGCTTACGCCAGGTCAACAGCTAGAAAGCTATGTGATTGATATTCAAACTGAAAGTGAAGGTGGGCATGGAAGCCTCTAGGCAGTGCTGGGTTTTGGTGTCCTTGCCTGGATAATCCAGAATTTGTTTCTGCAGAATGCATTTGGATCCGTATTAATATGAAAATACAAAAGATAAAAAAGTCTTTCAGAATGCAAAGACTCCTAAGAATGTAATTATAGAGATCAGTTGGGAAAGCCTCTGCCTGTTCCCAAATGCAAAGATTTAAGTGATTCAATAACACATTTTATCCCGAAGTAGTTAATTTATAATATAAGAAGCTGCACAATAATCTCAAAGGCATGCAGTTCAAATCCACCAGCTGTTCCGTGGGAGAAAGATGGGTAGTCTCTGCCTGTGCGATTAAGTGTCAGTGAAAACCCGTTGAAGGGTCGGCTATGGGTTGGTCCCCACTCAATGGCAAAACAACAACCAATAAGAATTCTAATAGAATTCTTTTCCTCTCCAGCACTACACCAAACCCACTGCCTCTGAGTTGATCTCAACTCAGAGCAATCTTCAGGACAAAGTAGAAATGGCCCATAGGGCTTCCAAAGCTATATAATCTTAGTGCTTAAGGAACTGTGCTGCCAAGCCAAAGGCACATGGTTCAAATCCACCAGTTGCTCTGTAGGAGAAAGATGGGCTGTCTCCTCCCTTGTAGGTTATAGGCTCTGAAAACCAGCTGGAAGGTCAGATATGAGTTGGTTCTGACTTGATGGCAGTAAGTTTGAGAGTTTTTTGGTTTGGTTTAGCTTGGGTAGATAAATGGATGAATGGATAGCTAGCTAGATAGATAGATAGATAATAGATGTGTTGTTGATTACCATCAAGTCGAACATGACTCATAGCAAACACTTGAACAAAAGACCTGAAGCCTTTCAATAAGTTCGTAGAATTTCCAGAGGCATGTTGTTTAGGAAGTGGATGCCAGTCCTTATATAGATGTTGTTTTTGACTGCCATCAAGTCGAGCACAACTCATAGCGACCGTATGAACAAAAAATCTGAAGCCTTTCTATAGCTATTGTCGTTTCTCAAAGTTCATAGAGTTTCCAGAGGCATATATCTATAGGTGTGTATATATCTATAGGTGTGTATATATCTATAGGTGTGTATATATCTATAGGTGTGTATATATCTATATATCTATATCATCTATATCTATAACTATATCTATATCATCTAACCCAGAAGGATGTGGCCAAAGTGTTCTTTGGAGGCAAGGATGAACAGGCTTCATCTTTCATACTTTGGACATGTAGAGAAGTGAGGCCTTGGAAAGGGACACTAGGCTTGGAAAGATGGAGGGTGAGTGAAAGAGAGGAATACTCCTTAAGGAGATGATGAGGATGGCACGGGATAGGGCAGGTTTCAGAATAACTCTTCATAAGGTCACTATGAGTTGTACTTGACTCGCCAGCACCTGACAACAACGAGAGAGAGAGAGAGATCACCTTTAGGGAAGCAGACTGTATTCCATAATCTGCAGCCTCACCTAGTAGACAACACCATTTAATGGACAACAGTCCTTGTTCACCTCCAGATCCTCTCTCTTTCCCAGGGCTCATCTTTATGCCAGGAACAATTCAATTGACAGCAAAAGACATTCTCTACCGACTTCGAGCCTCCAAGGCCAAGTGCATCGTGGCCAGCGAGGAACTGGTCTCGGCGGTGGAGTCCATAGCGTCAGAGTGCCCTGACCTGAAGACCAAAGTCCTGGTGTCTCTGCAGAGCCGGAACGGGTGGCTCAGCTTTCACGAGTTACTCCCGTGAGTATCAGCAGCAGCGTGAATCACAGCTACACCTCAGAGTCTCTGGCTCTCAGGACTTCCTGAGAGTTGACCTGGGATCTTCTCCAAAAAAAAAAGGAATCACTTAATAAAAGCTGTAAGGCCAGAAATCTTTCAGCTCTGCCTCCAACTTCCTGTTGGGTGTAGCTCTGCCCCCGATTTCCTGCTGTGCCCATGAGTATCCCGCAGCCTGATAAGGAGTTCTTTCCACAGTCAATTGCCAGTAAAACAGAGGGATTGCAATGCACACAGTGCTTGATTGCAGATCTTGAAGGACTGTGAGATTTCCCTCAGAAACCACCTCCCTGTCTGGGGAGTGACCATTAGTTTTTATCCTCAGGCTAGATACTCATTTACTTAACAATACACTTTTGTTAGTATAGCTACAGAATGTCTACATTTAAAAGGAACAGTTTACTAGTAAGCAGACAACAAATAGTTAACATATGAGTGTTTTGAAAAGGTACTTTCTAATCCAGGAAAGATGCATTTCCATTCCTGGTAAACAGGCAGTTTCAGGCACAATTTACATCTGACTGAGAAAAACAGTTTCAAAAAGGTGAATGCTAATCTAGGAAAGATGCATTTCTTCGCCTGGTAAACTGTAGAGTCGGAACCGACCTGTAGCTCACCCTCTGGTGGGTTTTCAGACGCAGTTAATGGCACTGGAGGAGATTGCCCATCCTTCTCCGGCAGAGCTGCTGGTGACCTCAAACAGTGTGCCTTGGGGATTGCAGCACATCTTCTTGCCACTAGGCCACCAGAGCTTTAGAAATCTTGTGCATCATTTCCATACTTATATCCACATAGGTTTGCTCTGAGTTGGAACTGATGGATCCACCAGCTGTTCCGTGGGAAAAAGATAGGCAATCTCTTCCCATTTAATTTACTGCCTCTGAAAACCTGCTGGACGGTCCACTCTGGGTCAGTTCCAACTTGACAGGACACAACAACAGTTAAGAGTTTATGGCTTCTCTAATAAGAATGTATCACTGTACTAGAAATTGTATTCCCTGAAGTCTATAATGTTTACAGAAAAAGTCTGCCAACAACTTCCTTGGATAGTTACTCACTGTATCACCAGTTCCTAAGACATGTGCTTAAGAAATATTTACTGAGTGAAAGGATCAATTAACAAAGGAAATAATTTAATCTCTTTGAATGTCAGTGTTCATCATCTGTAAAATTATAACAATGCTGTACATAGCTCAACAATTAGTCTAAGGATAAAATAAACTAATATTTGAAAAATCCCTCATAAGCTGGGGAGAAGAGAGAATTAAGTAAAGTATTAACTATTGGTATCGCCCTTCAGACAGTAGTTAAACAGCTTATGTTTTTGCTTTGGTTTTCTTCAATCATCCAAAGAAGCTTATAGAATATAAGAGTTTTTGAATAACAGAAATATCTTTGATAATCTATCCTAGCAATTAATGTAAACAAATCCCTATTGTCCATTCTGGTGAATGCTCTTTGGGTCTTCTGTAAACCATGTGACCTCAGATAACTCAAGGTACATCTATGAAATTCGGTACCTTATTCAAAGAATGGGGCAAAGAATAGTCCATCTTAATGGACACCACATATGATGTCCACAATGGATAAGAGAATCCCAGATGGTAATGCATGTGAATTGCCTAGAGAACGCATGGCACAAAGCTATCACTCCCTGAGTTCTATAATAATTACAATGAACAATGGGGCTTTGCCTCACATACTCTGGGCATGTTGCTAGGAGGGGCTATTCCTTGGAGAAGAACTTGATGGTGGAGGGTCAGCGAAGGAGAGAAAGACCCTCAACTAGATGTATTGACATGGTGACTGCTGCAGTGCGCTCTACTGTGACAGGAAGTATGAGGATGGCTCAGGACGAAGAGGGTTCAGATCTTTTATTCATAGGGTCACTATGAGTCTACTCGACTCGGCAGCACCTAACAACAACAAAACTGATAAGGAGTTGCACTGTGAACCCGAAGACACATGGTTCTAATCTGCTAAGTGCTCTGCTAGAGAAAGATAAGCAATTGTCTCTCATGTGATTTACAGTCCCTGAAAACTCACTGGAGGCCCAGGTGCTGATGTTGTTGGTGGTGCTATGTGTCGTTGAGTCACCTCTGACCCATAGTGACCCTATGTACAGCAGCTCTGAACCCTGCCCTGTTCTGAGCCAGTCTCAACAATTCCAACACACCAACCCCCATTGCCCCAGTTACCGTATCAATGCATCTCGTCTGGGGTCTTCGTCTCCTGTGTTGTCCCTCTGCCTTTCTGAGCATGACATCCTTCTCCAAGGACTGGTCTCTTCTGGCCACATGCCCAAAGTAAGCGAGACGGACCTTGAGTTGGTTCCAACTCGACAGTACACATCAACAGTAACAACAGTTATGATGGCAGTGAGTTGAGTACCATTAACATAATCTTCAGGTTAAAAATCTCTCGGCTCTGCAAGTAGTTCTCTAAATCAGCCGTGCTAAAACTATTTCAGTATATATTTCCAATTGTAAAATATTTTTTGGATACTTCTGTAATAGCTGTTAGTTCTTTATTTGAACATAATATACCTGAGAGGGTTTATATTTTATCATTATCAAAAGGAAAAGCTGTAAAGAATTCATAACATAATACATACAATTGCAAGTTCTATTTTTGTGCCTCACACCAATTGTCTTATATGCTTCCCTGCACGCCCCCCTCCGCCTTGCAGCAAGCACCTGTACTACAGAAAAACTTGTCCTCGGCAATTTGACAAAACTCTGTTGTGTCCCATGAAACCTTAAAGCTAGCACAAAAGGAAAATAACCTTAAACTTGTATGAATTTCAAACTGATTTTGCATATACTGCAGGAGGTGATTTTTGAGACAAAGAGAATCATCACTTTATGCAAAGTGTCTTCAGAATGTTTCAATCTCATTAAGGTGAAATTAGTGTTTCTGCCCATCGAATCAAGAGGTACACGTTGCAGGATTACAGTTGAGGTCCTTTATTAGCTGTGCATGGGCGGAGGGTCCCCGCAACAAGGTAGGATCCCCGCTTTTGGTGTCAGTTAAGAGACTTTTATACTTTTGCTTTCTACAACTGCTGGGCTACTTGCTACAGCAGTCTACTGTAGAAACACTTCAAGGGCACAGAGATACATGGACTGCATTATGCTATTGAAATATTTCAAGGGCACTGTAAGGTCGCCGAGGAAGGACAGAACCTAGTGCAGGCTACGAAAGATAGTTTATTGAGGAGAAACTGCTGGGCTGACTTACACAGAAGACCAGTCCCCACTGAGTTAGAGGGGGATTTTTTACGTTCTTACCAGGGACCTGGGGAAGGGGATGCATACAGAAACTTCCTTCAAGATAGGAAAGTGGGCTGGGGTCTCAGATAACTATTCCTGGGAAAATGGGGATAGGGTTGTTTCACAGAGACAAAAAGCACAACTTGCTGTTTCCTGCGATTGGATTCTCTCAGTAGCCATTCTGGGAGAGGAAGTCTGGGCTCTGCAGTCTTAATAGGCACAGAGATACATGGACAGCATTTTGCTTTTGAAACATTTCAAGGGCACAGTGATCCATGGAGCACAACACATCTAAATAGTAACAGTTACTGTTCTGGGAAGCAGTTCAAGACAAAGCTTTTAAGACTTGAGGGGACACTTCCCACCCAGGGGTTTACGTTCCTCAAACAGAGTGCTGTATAAAATGTCGTCTGTTTGGCTTCTCAGTTAGAACATGAAGAGTTTTCCTAAAGAATAAGACCAGGACAACTGTCTCCAGGAAACCAAGCAAAGCACTCACAAAATCAAACAAACCTGCTGCCATTAAGTTTCTAGAAGACAAAGTAGAGCTGAACCTTACAGGGATGCCAAAGCTGTCATTTTATTATTTATTATTATTATTATTTGTCATGAAAGTTTACATAGATGTAGGGGGTGTCCATTCATTCATTGTTGCCATTTTCTCCCTGCCCACCGCTCCCCCCCAATTCACTCTTCTCCTTGAAAAGTAAAACTCTTTCATTGCAAGTCGGCAATCTTTAAAGAAGTAGGTAGGTGCATCTCTCACCTACAGTGTCACTGGAATTTGAACTGTCAGCCTTACAGGTAGCAGGCATGTGCTTAAATCACTGCACACCCAGGGCCCCTTGAATACAACGATAATGGATAATGGCCTTTCTATTCACAGAGTTCGTATTAAGTCTCCTCACCTTCCTCCTTCTCCCAAGGAAAGGCATCTGTTTGTGTTAAAAGGATTCTCCAGAATTTCATAACAGACAAGAAAGACTATAGATGAGATGGCTGTTTCTCTTGTTATGTTCTTATAAAAAGAACCCATCCCTGTGGGCCTGGAATCTTGGGTTCATGTCTTGAAGAGATCGAAATAGAGCAGAAGGAATAGGATATGGAGGCAAGAAGCAGCCTAAGTTGTGCAGGAGATGAACTACAAGCATTTTTAGGTGATACAGGCCATGGTCTTTGCAATCACTTGTTATGCATCAGAGAGCTGAACAATGACTAAGGAGGATAGGAGGAGAATTGATGCCTTTGAGCTGCAGTGCTGGAGAAGAGTATTGAGGGTACCATGGACTGCTAAGAAAACAAACAGATTCATCCTGGAGAGGGCTAAACCAGGGGGTTCCTTGGAGGCAAGGATTCTGAGGCTTTGTCTGACATACTTTAGACATGTTATAAGGAGGGATTGGTCCTTGGAGAAGGACGTCATGCTGGGGAGGCTGGAGGGACAGTGCAGGAGGGGAAGGCCCTCTATGAGGTGGATTGATCCAGTGACTGGGATAATTGGGATGGGAGTGTCAGAGACAGTGCGATTGGTACAGGACAGAGCAGAGTTTAGGGCTGTTGTACATAGGGTCACTATGAATTGCAAGTGACTCGATGGCACATAACAACAACAACAGAAAACAAAAAAGTCAAATGGAAGGCCCAAAGAGCATGCAGAGCTCAGATTATGAAAGAGCTCATTCCTTAGTAAAT